CACAAACACATACCCCGTTTTCCCTTCATTACCTGGCTTCTAGTAGGAACATCAGATTTTTTTTTTTTTTTTTTTGGTGCTGGGGATCAAACCCAGCTCTTTGTGCTTGCAAAGTAAGAGCTCTACCACTGAGCCACATCCTCAGCCCTAGGAACATCAGATTCTAACGTGATAAATATTTTTGAATAATATGTCAATCTTTATAGCTAGCACACTTTCTTTGTTTTGTCCTGATTTTCTATTGCTGTTCCATGAACCTCAAAATGATTACTGTATACACGATTTTTTTCAAAATCTGTTTCAAATGTGTGAAAGATGGTGGAGTGAGAAAAATAAATAAACTAATGAATAAAAAAGAAGGTCAGATTAAACTCAGAGAAAGCAGAAAAGGGATGAAAGAGAACAAATGAAAATAGCTGATAGAACAGTTCAGTCATCCTCAGTATCCACAGGGGGTTGGTTCCACACCCTCCACGGATACTGAAATCTGAGGATGTTCCAGTTCCTGGTATAAAATAGGTTAGTATTTGCATATAACCTACACATATTTCCCTGTGAACTTAAATCATCCCTAGATTTCTTATCACACTGATATAATGTGAATGTTATAAAACAGATGTTATATCATTTAAGAAATAATGACCCAAAAAGTTTATATATGCTCAGAGAAAATGCAATTTTTTTCAAACATTTTTGATCCACATTTCGTTGAAACTGTGGATTCAGGATGCATGAATATGGGAGGCTATTGTTTAATTTCACCACATCAACTCAACTGATGTACAAGTGATCTAAACATACCAGTTAATTGACAATGATTTTCACACTGGGTGAAAAAGCAAGATCTAACTGTTAGCAGTCTACATAAACCCATTTTAATTGAAAGTATACACATACACTAAGATGAAAAAGTTGAACAACATGCACCATGCAGACATACACCAACAGAAAGCCGAGGAGCTAAACTAATTTCAGACAAAAGAGACTTCAGGTGAAGAAATATTATCAAGAAAACACAAAGGGTGTTGCATAATGATAAAGGACCCAGATTTTTTTAAAAGAGAATTATAAAACAAAACAGAACAATAGCAAAATACCAACATCACAAACACAAAACAAAGCAAAAACATTTAAAATGATGCAGAGTTTCAAAACAAAGTGATAGTAATTAACAATGGTTGTTATATTACATATTGTTATCTTCAACGAAGTTGCTCAGATTACCAGGTATAAGAATGCAAGATTGATCAAACCATTAAAGAGAATTAAAAAATAATAATTTTTAAAGAACATTAGAAATGATACAGTTTCACTAGACAAGATGGTAAGAATTTGATGAAGGTTGTTATATTGCATATTGTCTTCAAATCAGTTTCTTATATTACCAGATATAATCATGCAAGATTAAGGACTCAGATTTTCAAGAAGATATAGAAATGCTAAATATCTATATGCCTAACAACAGAGCTCCAAAAATTGATAGATTTGAATGGAGAAATAGACAAATCGACAGCTATAGTTGCAAATTTCAATATTGCTTTCTGGGTAACTGATGTAAAAGTATGCAGGAAATGAATAAGGACATAGAAGATCTGAACAACACTATCAACTAACCTGACATAAAGGCCAGGTACATCAACAGAAGGGTATATATCTTTGAATGTGCTTTCAAATTTGCCCAAGAGGAACTATAGTCTAAGCCATAAAATATGCCTTGGAAATTTTAAGAGAATATAAATCATATAAAGTATGTTATCTGCCCATAGAAGAATAAAACTAATCAGTAACAGAAAGATGTTTGGGAAATTCCCCAATACTTTTCAATTCCACAAAACACTACTAACACATTAGTCAAAGAGGAAATCTCAAAGAAAATCCTAAAATATTTTTAACTGAATGAAAGTAAAAATACAACATATCAATTGTTGGGGCATGCAGCTAAACTAATACTTAGTGGGAGATATACAGCATTAAAATGAGTATAATTAGAAAAAGAGAAATTTATAAAAATCAATAAATAATTTAAAATTTATTATTATAATTATTATAATATTTTAAATTATTATAATTATTTATTGTTATAATAAATAAAAAATTATTTTATAAATAAATTTACAAAAATCAAGCATCCATCTTAATAAACTAGAGAAAGAAGGCAAGTCAAACCAAAAGCAAGGGCTGGGGATATAGCTCAGCAGCACAGTGCCTGGCAAATGCAAGGTCGTGAGTTCGATTTCTGGTACCAGAAGAAAAAAAAAACCAAAAGAAAGCAAGGAAATAATAAAAATTGTAACACAGTTAATAAAACTGAGATCAAAAGAATATAAAATGTCAACAAAACCAAAAGCAGTTCATTTAAAAAGATCAATCTAGTTGGTAAATCCTTAGCCAGAGTGACCCAGAAAAAAAACAAGATGAATAAATTACCAAATATCAAGAATGAGGACAAAACATTACAGCTGATCCTAGCCATGTGAAAATCTTACTAAGGTTGATGTGAGGGGAAGATGGCTTGGTGAAGAGCAGAGAGACAGCCTCTTTGAGACTTGGTGTTCAGACCCTGGAATATAGCAGTGTGAGGATGAGAAGAAGGAAGGACCCAGGAAGGATCTGAAGCAAGAATCAGAGCACATGGGGAGAGTGCAGAGAGAGACCTCAATGCAGAAGAACGAGGTGGCAAGCAGTGCCTTCTCCCTGAGCCCTGACTCACTGTATAGGAGAAGTGCCTGGAACCCGTAGATGCATAGTGACAACTGGTGACCCAGGGGCTTCCACAGAGAAAAACATCAGTGCAATGGAGAAGTAGGCACAATGGATGTTGCTGGTGAGTAATTTGGGTTCAGAGGTCCCCTAGGAGAGACCTACTGGCCACTAACCATCTTAGAGAGGGCAACTGAGCTTGGAACTCAGAGAGAATGTGGGCTGACTCCATCTAGCAGCTCCCAATGCCAGGGTGAGGCAGAACAAAATTCAAGGTGGCAAGAGGTCAAGGAGTTAAATTTAAGCCTGCAGGGAGCCAAGTTCCTGCAGGGAGAAGGCATACTGCGTTGCAGGCTGAACAAATCAGGTTCCAGCTTCAAAGCCAGAAACAAGCCTGAACTTCAGGAGAGCTAAAGGTAGTCTTGCTGAGATTATCCACTACACTGCTGTAAATCTGCAATTGATTTGCTGGTATTAATCAACACAGATTTGGACTCCATCTGCCCACTCTGTCTACCAGTGATAGTACCCTGAAGTGGTCATTTTTTTTCTTTTTTCTTTTTTCTTTTTGTTCTTTTCTTGTTTTTTCTGCTTTATTGTTTGTTCTTGTTTGTATACGAGAGTAAACATTGCTTCTAGTTTTTTGTTATTGTTCTGTTCTGTTCTTGTTTTTATTTCTTCCTTCTGGTTCTCTTCTGTCTTCTTCACCGGTTTCCCAAAGTTCACATGATCTTCCTTTGTCCTCCAGCCTTGCTTCTATTCTCTTCCTTTTCTTCCATACCTCTATTTTTTCCCTCTAGCCCCTTTAAAATTTTCTCCCCTGAGGGCAAAATTGCCATATCAAAGGTATATTTACTGTATACAATTTTCTGGTTTGTTTTATATTTTGTTATACAACTACAAATATATACTCAGACAGTTAAAGGTGGCAACTTAATATTACCAGTTTGTCATTCTCTAGACTGTGTTGGATGTTCTTGTTATTGCTTATTGTACTACTTTAGTCAAGGTGACATAATTGTTCTAATGAGAAGTTCTGCTTGGTATGCCAAGATTGAGATAACCTTAGAGTTATAAACAATACTATAGGCCTGTGTCAAAGAACCAGAGGCTGAGCCAAACAGGCAGCAATTTCTCATCCCCAATAAATTGAAGGGATAAGATCTTGAAACAGACTCAAAACCCAAAAGCCAGCTATACCTGGAAGACATCTCTGAGAAGTAGTCATTTCCTAAGGGTTCTCACTAGTAACAGTAAAGCTACCTGCCATAAGCAATTTAGAAGCATCAACCCATGAATTAGACTAAAAATAAAAAAAGAAAGCAAGAAAAAGAAAAGACACATAAGCAAAATTCAACCCCAGACTTCCTGCTCACCAAGGACAAACCCAGAGGCAATGAGGTAGGAAAATCTGAAAGTCACCCACCTGGACTCTCTGAAGTGGTAGCAGCAGAAGTAACAAAACAGATGGATGAGGCTCTAGAAAGAAATCAAATCAGAAATAATTTTTCAGATAACTACTGAGACAGTGACCATAATGAAAGACATGGTTAGTGACTTTAAAACAAATACAGATAAAAAAAAATAGAGAAGCTTAAGAAATCATGGAAACCATGAATGCCCAATATAGGAAAAAAGTGGAATCCATGAAACAGATTCAAACAGATAACCAGGTGATTGAAAATTCCATTGAAATGATATGCAGCAGAATGAGCCAATGTGAGGCCACAGTATCAGATATACAAGACAGGATTTCAGTAAGCAATCCTGAAAAGAAAGATTTCTTAAAAATAGCAAGGGACTACAAAAATTTGACCCAACAGCTGCTAGATGAAGCAAAGAAAAATACCATAAGATTGGTGCTGGGAATATATTTTTTTATTAGCACGTATTAAATGTATATATTAATGGGTTTCAGAGTGATATTTCAACACCTGCAGATAACTTCCTCTTCTCACATCTGTCCTTTCCTAGACAGTGTTAATCATTATTTTACTTTCAGGTCAGCCTTTCTTTTTAACCCCAGGGTACTTGTGGCATAGCTCTACCTCACCTCCCCTTGTAGCCACAGCATGAAAAACAAGCCCTCCTGGCAGAGGCTGCTATCCAGGAAATTCTATAAATACTGGTATACTTAGAGCAACTTTAAATAAACACAAATAAAATTTTTCTTTTTTTTTTTTTTTTTTTTGGTTTTTCTCCGGT